TTAAGTCTCTGAAACCCACAGGGGCAGTTCTACTCTGTTCTGTAGGTACTGTGAGTCAGAATCTGTTCAGTGGCTGGGATGTTTTAGTGCTGGTAAGAGGTAAACTGTGGTCCAGACCGAAGCGGGCTTGGAATTTGACTAGTGGCCTTGGACCTGGGATGTGCTGAGCTGGAAGTGTGCTGACTTTTCAGTCAGAGATTTTTGAAAGAAGCAGGTAGTGTTGGATAGGCTTCTCGGGTCTCAGTGCTATTGAACTCAGGTGGTTTTCTACTCTGTACTTCCGTAAGAATAAAGTAAAGCTTTGGGGATACCTCCACCTCACTGCCATCACATTGATCCAGACTCGTAATGACCAACCACAGGTAACTTAAAAAAAATCATTTTAATGGGGGCTCTTACAGCTGTTATAACAATCTATACATTCATCCATTATGTATATATGTTGCCATTATCTTGTATAAAACGTTTACTTTGTACTTGAGCCCTTGGTATCAGTTCCTCATTTCCCCCCCCCTCCGCCCTCCCTCATGAACAGGGTAACTCTTTTTTTTAAATCATTTTATTGGGGGCTCTTATCAAACAGGGTGACTCTTTATAGGAGTAGAAAGGCTTAGCTTTTCTCCTGTGAAATGGCTGGTGGTTTTGAACTGCTGACCTTAAATTAAGGTTAGCAGCCTGTCTCTTGAGACCTATATGCCAGCAGGGCCCCTTATGGGGAGATAAAGATAGTTTTATTTACTTGTTAACGAGTAAGGGGACAGATAATTCTCAGAGCACTCCCTGCCCCAACAAAGAGTCTGGGAGAGGGCACGGACATGATGTGCAGCATATCGTGCGCATCATTCATGGAAGGCACAGGGTTAGGGTTTGGTACGAAAGTGGTCACCAGACTCCTCGTTTCTGAAACGGCTCCATGTAGCACCAAGTATGCCAGTCAGATCAAAAGTAAGCCCGCAGCCATTGAGCCGATTCTGATTTTAGTGATGACCCTAGGTAGGGTCAGGAGGCTTACTGGACAGCACCACCAGGGCTTCGAAACATAGTTCTCGTTCTGACATGAGTCTTAACGTTCTGCAGTGGGAGGTCAGGACCGCTTTCGTGACTTTGCTCCTGTGTGGGGCCAGCACATCTGGTGATCGATGGCTGGGAAAAACACCTGCTACCAGGAAGATTGGCAGCGGGTGGAGAGTGACATTTCTTTGGGTTAACTGATGAGGCATTTCTGGGGACATTTCTATTACTTGCCAAGTCCAGCCCAAGGGATCCTTAAGTCTGGGAAGTTTCTCAATCTAACTAGTTTCATATGTTGCTCTTGTTTGTGGTTATGCTGGTTGTAAAAATGTATTTAAAATTGCTCAGATGCCTCAGAGTTACGAGCGAGTGCTTGTGTGAAAGGGGGCGGGGGTATGAATGATTAAATTGGCCCAACAAACCGTGACCTAGAAGTCACCACGTTCTGGCAAAGCATTTGCCAGGCAGCCAGACTGAAAGATGGGCAGTTGGGAGTCCATCTGCTGTGAGATAAGGTTAATTCAGAGCTAAGATGAACATGTTTCACTAGGCAGGTAAGCATGGAAGTTATCTTTCGGGACTCCAAATGACTCTGGAAGGCTATTTTTGCCCCCAAGGCAGAAAGAGAGGGAAATGATCGTTCCAGAAGAAGCGGCCTGATCACACACACACACACACACACACACACACACACACACACACACACACACACACACACACCGTTGTTGTGGGGTCTACTTTCAACGCACAGCAACCACATAGGGCCGAGAACCGCTCCAAAGGGTTCCCAAGGCCATCCACCTTCATGGAAACAGGCTGCCTCATCTTCTGTAGAGGGCTGGCCTCGAACCTGGGGCCCTTCGCTTCCAGCAGAGCACTGCGCCGTCGGGGTCCTGGTGGCCCCGTGGCGGGACCTCTTTTGATCCACGGGCATGAAGCTCTGACACGAAAGCACCCGAACGCGCCGAGTCCCTAAGTCTGGGGACAAGTCTAGCAGCCGTGCCTGCGCTCCGCGCCCGGCTTCGCGCAGCGTCCCGGGAGGAAGAGGGGCAGGTGTGCGGGGCCTCACCTGGTCCCGGCCAGCGGCTGGGGGTCCGTCAGGCTCAAGGGCGAAGAAAAGAGCAAGTGGACTCAGTTCGCCGGCCGCCTCGGCGCTCCCGCGCGGGCAGTCGCCTTTCTGCTCGTGCTGCCTCCGTCGTCGCCGGCCACCAGCAGTCGCGGTAGTCATTTTGGGGGGCCTCGGACGTCGGGGCGATTCCCTCTCCTACCGACCCTGCGGGAGAGAGGGGAGCCGCTCCTGAGGGTCTTCTGTCCGGTGAACGGCAAACCCCGCCCCTGCAGGGGAAGGAACGCCGCGGGTCGCGGTCCTGTTCCCTGGCAAGACGAGAGCCTCCAGGCGATATGGGGGACACCCCGCGGGACCGACCCCCGAGACCCTCTCTTGAGCCACCGGGCGGAGCCAAGGCCAGGGGGCGGAGCCAAGGCCAGGGGGCGTCCGCTCCCAGCGGCGCGCCGACAGCCCCCGGGCGCGTGCGCGCGGCTGTCAGTCACCCTCCTGGCCCCGCCCCCTCCGGACTTGACCAATCGCAGCCGCGGGTCGGGGGACGGCGACGCAGCCCGGCTCGGAAGCTGGGGCTGGCCCGGCAGAGCGGCGGCGGAGCCGCGCGGGAATGCCTGCGCGCCGCAGCGAGTGCGAGGCGGCGTCCGCGGTGAGTGGGGGCTGCGGGCGCGCTGGCGCGGGCAGGCCCCGCGGCCGGAAAGCGGTGACCGGCCTCTCTGCGGTCCCTCTGGGCTGCGGTGCCCTGGTTGGCCGCTGAGGTGCGGGGGAACCCCAGGTTGCGGCGGGAGGGACGGGGGTCCGTCTGTTGGCCGAGGCCGAGCGGCAGCCGGGCGGCCGCAGTCTGGCACCGCTGGGGGTGGAGTGGGGAGTGAGCATCTCTTTACCAGGTTTCCGGACGTGTGGTACCCCGCCGCAGCGCGGCAGAGCCAGGGCCGGGGAGGGGGGCACCTCCCCAGGCCGAGGGCGGGGCGCGCGGTGCAGCCCCTCCCAGCCCCTACTCCCCTCATCTCGCTGGGCACCCGCTGCCCCCCTCTTGGCTGGCGGCGTTCCCACCCGGTGAACGGATCTGGCCTTGTTGAGCCGTTGTTTTGGGGGGTGGGGGATCAAATTCAGGCCCTGTGGGGAGAAACAGGTGTGACCTTAGAAGGTGTGATGTGCAGACCTTGCCCTGTCGCCCCGATATCGCCGCCTGATCAGAGAAGCCTCTGACGGTGGTGAGAGCGGTTCGCAGGCTGGGTGTCTGGCCACCGCTGGAAAAGATGCAAAAATCTGTGTGTAGTTTTTGACAAAAATACCCTTACTTTCATTATTTAAAGGAGGATTATTGCCACATCTCCAGATGATATAGAATCACACAGCTCTACTGGGCCTCCCCTCTCCCCTCGGTGGCTAATTATCATTTGGCACACCAGCTTGTGTTTGAAGTCTGCAGGACTCCCCAACCCTGCTAATTAATTGTCTGATTCTATGCAGTGGAGGCAGCAGCTCTCCTTCCACTGTGTTCAGTATCGTTGCTTCATGTCTGTTAGCCTCCTGGTCACTTTGGGGCTGATAAAGTGCTGTTATCTGTTTATGAGAAAGGAAACGAAGGGTGAGATCACTCAAGTGCAGTTAGTGGTCCCCATGGCCCTTAAATTGGTTGTCCGGGTGAAATAATGTAAGCGACAATTCAGACACCATTTCTAAGAGCCCATTCCTAACATACAAGGGACCAACCTTACTACTCTATGCTGTTGTCTGACCTGACTATACAGCATAAGCATCTGATGACTTTTTATAAAAGCTGTTTCTTGGGCCTTACACACACAG